CTATAAGTGATTCGTACATTAGGAAACATAAAGGGAAATGAGAAAGTAATTTTAAGTTTTGTTTCTTAATCTTATATACAGAAAACAAGCAGCTATACGGCACGTAGTGACTGGGGTGCCTGAAGTTGAAGGTGTATCTAACACCCCAAAAGATAATTTTGTGGATTCTGCCCCCAGGACAGTCCCTACCCCTGAAACAAGAAAATTTACCGTTGACCCTTCTGGAAATATCGTATTATCTGATGGTAAATGATTAATAGTTTAAATAAGCTGTAGGAACCCCTGTTGTGCAGCCAGCGGTGGTGGAGGATACCACTGGTTTTTCTGGCCAGTTGGATATGCAAGACGGGGCTTTACCTTGCAAATCCCAAACGCTTGATTGTTCTCCGGGTGTCTTAGATACTGTCAAATGCACAAGTTGTGCCTCGCGTCTCAGTCCGTTTTCTGTTCCGTGCGAGGTACATCCAGTTTTGAAAGTTATCATATGCAAGGTATGTTGTATGTGTATCACACAATTCTTAGCGTTGCCTTAAATTCTATGGAAAAGGAGATTTTCCGAAAGATGATTTTGGAAAGGACGAAAACTGCAGATGGTGTGGAGATGGCGGAGATCTGATTTGTTGTGATTCTTGCTCCAACACCTTCTGTAAAAGCTGCATAAGGCGAAACATCGGTCGAACCTACCTTCATAATATTGAAGAGTTGGGTGAAAATGAATCTTGGAATTGTTTGCTTTGTACAAAAGAACCTCTTCTGCCCCTCCAGAAGCAATGTTTTGAAGTGAGTTCGTCTTTTGCTGGTTATTTTGGTGCCTATTTTGAAATAATGATAATAGCCTTTCTTCCATCTTGTTAATTTAGATTATGCAGCGTGTTCGGGCATATCACGCACAACGCAAAAAACGTTCAGAACGTGCCCATGAGTTGTGGCGTCAGCGCTCCGGCGCCTCCTCTGCAAGCACTCCTACCTCGTCAGTAACTACTGCGATAACTTCTCCACAGGTTCTCCCTCCTAGTGTTAGTCCGGACCGTTCTTTGAACACTTCCCAACCACTCGTCAGTCCTTCTACGAGCATCAGTGCGGAGCAGCCGTTGCAGGCTCCTTTACCTGCTTTTAGCCCACCCGAGGGACTGAATGCTTTGGCAGGTAAAACCCATTCGCAGTAATTTAATTGCATCTTTTTAAAGCGAGTTTTGTATAGCCTCGTACACAAAACCAGAGATTTCATTTTTCCTATTATTACGAAGATAGTAGCTAACATATTTTCATAGAACTGTTGCATATGAACTATCTAGTTTTATGTGGCCGCGTGCTTTGAATTTCAGGCAAAGTATTACCTTAGAGCCTCGTACCACTCCAAAAATGAAATATCTGTGAATTAAAAAGTCTTAATAAAGGTTTATTAAAATTTCTACAACTATTTCTCATCGAAAAGCCATACAGACCTCTAAGATCCTAACTTGTTTGCAAACAACCATACCATTAGGATATGTGAAGGAATCCTTTATCCTATCACATTCTTTCTGACTTGTACCACACCGTTTCATAAAACTGAATTAAGCCAAATGGATTCTCCTCGAACTGTCTCCTGATCCTTTAAGGAAAAATTTGCCACTTGAATATGAAGTTTGTCACCTGCAACTCTTTCATTCCGTCTCGAGAATGCCCGCCAAAACAATTAATGAATGAGCACAGGATTTGACCATCGCACTTTCTGAATGAAGTGTGACTATGCGTTTGAGTACTTTATGCGTTTGAGTACTTTATGGTTCGGGCTTCGGCCAGGCTCCCTTGTGATGAGGGATCCATTTTAGTCAACAGAAAGCAAATACGACTGTCAGCTTTGTGCATTTTACGGTTAATTTCATGCATTAGATATTTATTTGAGTTTGCATTTTGGCGACACCTAGTGATTGCTAGAGCAGCTGCGACTGCTTTTCTCAAAGTCTGACCGATATTAAATTCTGCCACCATATCTCGTTTATCGTCGACGGACCAGTGTAGGTCAGATTCCAAACACCCGCCACGCGGTGCTTTAAGTATCTAATTTTCGTGTCTGCTGCTTTTAAACAAGTAAATTAATTTTATTCTGTCTAGTTTTGAGCGTCGGTCATAATCTATACTAAATGTTCCTCCTCCTCCTCCTCCTCCTCCAGCTGTTTTGGCCGGGGTCACAGGCACATGTGGAACTCCGCTGATAGCGCCCTTTGGAGCTCTCCCCCCGGCTTCCGATCTGTTGGCCGCGGTGTCCAATTTGCAAGCGCTAGCTTCTGTTCCCTTGACTACCTCACCAGTTGCGCCCGGCTCCACGCTACCAGATACGCAGCCTACCAAGCCTCAAACTCCGTCAGCCCCTACCACAGGTTCGGTTCCCATAGCTGCAAAACGTCCCGAGATTCCGGCTCCTCAAAGCAATAAAAACCAAAGCTCTGGCCGTGGAAAATGGGGGACTGGATCCAATCCCAACAGCAGTGATTGGTACTTGGAAAATGTTACTGTAGCAGGCATCCTAGATCAAATATCCCAAGTCCAGGCCTCTAACATTCGTAA